GAACTTTAAGTTACCAATGACAATTGAAATAATATTTGTGAGAACCAATTTATATTAGATTTAATAAAGATCTTTATATGTCCACAGTTATTATATGATCATAGACAGTCTGGTCTGTATTCACGTCCCAGTTCATATGCCAATGCTTGTCATACATATATATATATCCACAGCTTATCATATTCTTGGACGTAGACATGGACAGTACAGTCTGGTCCAGTCCATGTCTATATTCGGTACAGGTGCCAATACTGCTCCATACTATATAGTTACGATTACTTAAGAAATCGTGACAATAGCTATTGCTAAACGTAAGCGATATTAATCTTTAATATATAATTTTTAAACTATCACGCAATTTAAATATCTAGTGAAGTTAATTGATCTAGGGACACTTTCAAGCAAAAATTCAGTTTTTCTCCTGAGCAGATATTATAGTGAATTAGTTATATATATATTTATATAATTGTCTTCAATTATTTTCTTACATATTATAATTGTCCTTTTGATTCATGAAACAAACCATAAAACATTCATGAATAACCCATGAAATACACTACTAACAATGATTAAAAATGGATATCTGCTTAGAAGAAGGTTTGAATTTTTTGCCTAAAAGCACCAATCTTTGTTTAATTCTTTGATATTATTTCAAAATTTTAAAAATTGGCCAAAGTTGTCTTTCTAAGTTCAGGCACTTCATTGCTATAGTATAATTTGTTATAGGCAACAAAATGGAAAACAAGGCTAAAGCAACATATCAATATATAAACAGTGGCTATTTACGGTACCATACTCAGCAATGTTGTCAAATATCTTGCATATTGGTAATTGTCACATCATTTTATTATATAATTTATTACACGATGTAATAAATAATATATTAAATAGGATGCGACAATTACCAATATGCAAGATATTTGACAATACTGATACCTAGTTAAAGTTTTCTTCTCGATTCATTAAAATTATAAGTTGCTGCATTTTTATAAGATGAATCAAGATCGATATTTATTGAATGATCTACATTTAATATTGGGTAAGTAGAGATAGTGGATAGCAAAATAAACATTAAATCTTAATTGTTAGCAATTATGCATAATTACTGAACTTAAGGTCACTCTGACAAATTAAATATTTTAAGTTTTGATTCAAGTATGAAAGAACAAGCAAGGAAATACATATTCCAAATATCATTAAACTAATAAATTCTTCAGGTTTAATTTCTGAGTACAGAAGAACAACTGAAGAGATGCATGCGTCAAATATTAGCAAATTATAAAAAAAATGCTTTTCTCCAATTTCAAAATTTTTTTTAGTTGTTTTTATATTTCCCGTTTAATAATTCGTATTTAGTGTTCTTAATTTTATTTTCTTTACTGATTTTTGTACTTTTTTTATTTGCAATGTGTCGAAAAGAAAAGTATTTGCCTGAAACATCAGTTAAAGGCAATAAAAAGAGATCAAGAATTACAAGAAATCACAAAAAATCAAAATGTAAATATTATATAATAATTTACTATATACTAAAATAGTAAAATAATAATTATGCTCTTTTTAGTAAATAGCCAGATGGTCACCAAAGCAGTTGTAGCAGAAGTAGCTAAAATTCAAGAAAAAGAAAAACAGAAGGACAAAGAACAGAGTTTATCACCATCAACAAGTAGTAGTAGAAGTAGATATGAAAGCATTAACGATGAAAGCAGTATCAGTAGTGGTAGTAAAAAGAGTAGCAATAATAATGATAGAAAACTAGTAAAATGATGAAGAATATCTATACCAGTACTCTTAATAAAGAACAATTGTCCCATATTTGGGTAACTGTTAACTTATTTTAAATACAATCAAACCGCAATTATATCTCTCTTTTTGTCTAAAGAGTTTTTGGATATATAATCTAGATAGAGATATAACTAGGACAGAATTTAACAAATTTAGGATATTTATAGTAAAATATACCTAAAATTTGACTATATTTGAATTACATAATAATAAATTTTAAATTTTATTATAGGATGAAATTAAGGTTTTAATTGATGGTGAAAAACTATCTGAACAACGTCCTAACCCAAATAGCATATGGAAATCACAAAAGCAAGATATATATAAAAAACTTATTCTGTCTATTACGAAAGAACTGCTTTTTTACAAACACTATGCAAGTAAGATTGAAAAAATTCTTAAGCAATATCATAAGTCACAGAAGTAGACAACAAAGGTTAATTCTAATAGTGAATTAAAAGCTTATCATCATGCTCGAATGGGTTGAAACACCAAATTAAATGAAGTAATGCATAGTTTATTTAATATAATATTCTTATAACATACACTGCTTTGGGCTCTTTCAAACAAAAAATTCGGTTCTTCTCCTAAGCAGATATCTATTGTCTAGCCTAAATTACTCATGAGTGTTTTATGGTTTGTTCTATGAACCAAAAGGACAATTATAGTATGCAGAGAAATAATTGAAGACCTTATTCACTACAGTATCTGCTCAGAGAAAGAACTGTATTTTTGCTTGAAAGCACCTTTTAATATACAAATTCTCATTTCAATGTGATTACAATACAAAGCGCACAAATACAAAACAGGGCTTAAACGACTACAGTAATTTGCTACCATTCAAAATGTAATTCTTGATCTATAATATATTAGACAATAGCAATAGCACAGTAAATGGCTAGCAAATTACTATAGTCATTTAAATCTTATTATAAAATATTATAGTTAACATTTATGCCCTATATAATAAAATTAGCTTTTCATAACATTATTTTATATAAATTATTTAACTTACTATTCATTTTATAATATATTTATTAGAAGCGCAACTATAGACGAAAAGTTCTCCACTTTCTTATAAAATCGGACAATAAAAAAATAGACAGATATTCTCTTAAAAGTTGTATGTGTGACTAGTATGTACTCTCCAAATATGTATACGAGATGCTATAAACGCATATTGTAAAAGTTAACTATAACCGAATAAAAGGAGCCGGCCAAGAGGCCACCTTAACACCAAAAAAAAAAAAAAGATATTCTCTTAAAGACTTTAAAATTTTAACAACCAGTAAAGGTAGAAATGCCTATCATTCTGCAGAAGAGTGGGTAACAGATGAAGAGACGACTGAACAAGATAGAATAAAAAGAAAAAAACTTGTTTGTATTGATAAGTGGTGGTGTAGACCGAATGTAAATATTAGTATCTATATAGGTGCTGAAAAAAGGGTCCAAATTGACAGAACAAAAGAACTTCAGAAAATCAATTTTTATATTATAAATCTTATAAGAAAATCACTTTAAAGAGCTATACGACAAAATTTTAATACAATCTAAATTGATTTATGTAAAAAATTCTTTTGAAAAAATTGTCAATTTGGGCTCTTTTCCAGTATCTAGCCAATATATCATAAGAGGTTTTATATATTAACTACTGTTTTATTTTTATTTAGTTAAAAAGATTATTTCACAAATGAATAGATCTATTTATAAAACATCTACAACCAAAAAATCTTTGAATAATAAAACGTCATTATGAAGAGCATATTGATAAAAACAGTGAGCCGCCTATGAATTGTCCTTTTTGAGCTCTATCTGAAGAGGCACTAAACTGGTATCAAATCCCTAAATCAACTTTTAATGCAGATTATTCAACTAAAGATGAAGATCTGTATCAAAAAAAAACCTCCCAATAATAATATTATTCTTCATTGTAAGAAAAAAAAGAGAAAGAAAAAAACAAGGTCTTGGAGCAGCAGTAGTACAGTAGATTCTAGTTCTGAAGAATATGGCCTTACCAATCTCAATTATAATCATATTACCAATAAAGGTAATAAAAGCAAAAAATAAAGAAAAATGTCTATAAATTATAAAAATAATACTAATTCAACTGACGATGATACTACTGATAGTATTACTGAAGAAGACT